ATATAATATGATAAATGTTTACAATTGAAAAAATATTAAAATAATAATATCTTTGGGTCGAAAAGTGTAGAGAAAAATATAAGAATCACTAGTTGTCGAGGAATTGACAGCATTTTGATAAAAGCAAATTCGGTTCTCAATTGAATCAAAATATGAGATTTTTTTATAAAAATTAGAGTTTCGGAACTCCTATTAATGCTGTCTTTTGAATAATACTTTTCAAATTAGTTTTGTTTTTCAACAGTAACTATAAATTGATCGAAAAATATATCTTAAAATATAAGTTATAACTTTGTTGTGGAAGTTATTGAATCCCTTTTGGTGTTATTGTTATTTTTTCTAATCGATGATTGACTGCCATTTGTCAGACTTTGTCTTTCAATTAATACCTTTATGAAAATAATTTATTGCAATTAGTTTAATGATTATTAAAGTATTATAACTTGTTAGTATACCTTTGGCCTCTTTGTTGGCACACATTCTGCGGGCCATAATTTCCAAGCGTATGGCGATAATAGATCCGGATTCACGTCCGATGCCGTCGAATATCCGCCTATTGTTTTGTTTAGTCATTTAATTACTAATAAAAAGCTTTAAATACTGACCCGAAAGGAGACTAAGTATAGTACCGACGGATAAACTTATAACGAAACCCATGACCGGAACTAAGAGGTATGCGATGTGATAGAGACTGAGTAAGCCTTGCGATTGTATCGGTGCACTTGTAATGAAGGTTCGGTTTCCAATCAATTCTATGGGACAGTCGGCTATAGATGTGGGAAGAGTTGGCTGTTGTTTCGAGTAAACCAGTGAACCAATCAAAACCCAAACCCCGAAAATTTCTCCGGCAAATAGACCGCAAAGAACTCCCTATTTATGCATCAAATCATTGATTCATTAATTGATGGAAATATTGTGTTATAATATATAAATTTGTAAATTTATTATGAATACTTTATTCTCTGTAAAATAACTACAGTATAATTGAAATGTGATTTATTAGTTATTTGCCATTTTCAGGGACAACATTTAAGGCCTTTCCAAATGCCATTCAAAATTTCAAAGTTCTAGCAGTAATTTATTTTTACAATTAAAATAATATTCATTGCCTATAAATTATAGGCTATAATTTAATGTGTTAATAAATTGTTTGTATGAATCTGTCATTATATATTATATTTGGATATTTATAAACTTATAAGGAAGTATTCCCTTTTTTGTTTAATTTTATTGTTATTCTGCAAATTTTTTAATCAATTATCCACATATTATCAAATTTACAAAATTTATTGCAATAATGTAAATTGTATTAAATTTAAATTCCATTATAGTACAATATTTATTGATTGTGTGTTTACTAACAATCAATAAATTCATGTAATATATTGAGGAATGCAATCAAATGAAGATATTTCCAAACTCACAAAAGTATTGGCGAACGGACACAACACTCCCAACAGAAATAGTCCAAACATAGGGCCCACTAATGCTCCGGCGATTGATATGGCGGCCTATAATGAATGCAATTTATTTAATATTTCATAGGAATGCCATTGTTTTACGTATACATGTATAGTATGGATGTCATAAATCTTAACATAGAAAACCTAATCATTTCGTGATTATGACATCCATTGCATACTCTATGCTATAAATGCAAACATAATATGAATTCTTTATGAAGACCTGTAGGACTGAATCGATTCGACTGACGATAAAAGCCATTCCAATGGCTATCAAACCATAACAGAAGGCAATAGTTCTGCTCACTCTTCGAGCGTTAGTTTCGGACAGCTTTTGAACCGAAGTGTATCGACACAGGAAGTCGTCGTAAGTGACGGCAGACAAGGCGTTAAAACCCGAGGACAATGTGCTGAGAGATGCGCTGAAAACACACGCCACAAATAATCCAGGTAAACCCGGCATTGAGCTTAACTGATCCATCACGAAGTATGGCATCAACTAATTGGAAAATCGGTTTATTAAAACAATACCAATAGTAATAATTTAATGGTTGATTACCTGATCTGTCTTTTCAATGAGACCGATAGCCATGGGATCGCAACCGCTATAGTATGCAAATATCGATATACCGCACAGACAGGCGCTACTGATTAGTAATACCATTCCAATCATATTGATATATAAAGCCCTATTTATTACATTTAATACGATAACGGTATTAGTTTTAATAATCACAATTAAATTCAATTAAAATTGACGTTAACTAACAATTTAGCTTTTGCTTCTGAGGTTACGTTACAATATCTCTGAACCTCTGTCTGACTCGTGGCGTAATTCCCTAAACAAAGCAATTAATTGTTATTATTATTAACACATCACTACTGATCTGTGCGGACACATACCCGACCACATGATTCCCATTCCGAAGACAGCATTCCAAAGGGTGGACGTCGAGTACGGATCGATCTGAACGCTAGACAACAATTATTTTAATCATTCAACTCATAATGAATTTAATATTCTTTAATCACTTCAACACTCACTTAAAGAATTGGATTCTCCCCTTTTGTTGGGCTATTTTGAACGCCTCATCCACTCCTCCCACCAAATAAAATGCCTATAATTTCATAAAGTTTTATATTAACCCATATTTGTGCAATTTTTTGATTATACAAAAAATGATCTTTCAAATTTTAATTATAGCATGTTTACATTGTTTTTAATGCACGTGTAAACAAATATTAGATATAAAATTTATCTGTCATTTCATGACTTTTCAATTATAAAGTGCTTTATAATTACCATGTGTGATTCTATAGATATTAAAGATTGATTTATTAAAACTTATGTTTGCTAGATATTCATATAGTCTTAGGTTCCTTTCATTGATATAATTAATTGAAAGTAAAATCGATTTATGGCTTCAATTTATAAAATTGCTTCAAAACCGAAAGCAATCTATTTTTGTTAATTAGGGAAAAGCTTTTTATTGATTGTCTGTTCATTTGTATAATATGTTTGATATCATGTTTTACATTCACAGCAGACTCTGACCTGAATTTTCATAAATAAATAATACTTGAACTACAATTCAATTACAGAGCCATTAATAATGTTATAAATTGATAATAGTTTTACCGATTGTGAGATGATATATAACAGAATAACTTATAACAAATACCCGAATCATAACAACGACGAGTCCGGCAAACATTAGAAACACTTGAACCAAATCAGTCCAAACCACTGCTCGTATTCCTCCCTAAAATATTGTACCATTAAATACATTAAATGCTATTTTTTAAAATAAGGTAAATTTATTATGTGGGAAAATAAATGCAAGGGTTTCTAATAGACCTTCACATCTTTATTGTTAATTATTTTCAAATATAACGGAAATTGTTTGAGTGAAAGCCCATTAAACTCGCAAATGCTATTATTTTATAATAATTTATAAATAAAATAACAATTTATTATGTTCATTAATGAAATATTAATTAAATATTTTAACAATAAATAATATACGTATATAATTATGAGAATTATCTTACAATTGATGTATAGAGTGTACAAATGCTGCCAACAATTAGCACAGATGTCGATACGCTTATAGGAGTCACTAAAATAAATATTGCATATTTTAAATAACATCATATTTACAGATAAATTGCTAAAAACATAAAAATTCTAAAAAATGTCTCTAAAAACTATAGCATTAAGTTTAACTTTTGTTAGTACAACAACTGTAACAAAAACTGTAAGAGCTTACTGTTAAGTGTCTTAAGGAAAAGTTGCCTTTCGATTCTGGTTCTGGTTTTAATAGTTATATTTAGCATAACATTATCTAATATTCAAATCTATAATAAATTTCATAACTTTCTAATTGATGTGTAAAATATTTTGTTAAAAAATTAATTATAATGCAATCCTTTCTTTATATTTTGAAGTAGTAATAAAATGTGAATCAATACCTGATCCGAGTGCGAGTGAAGGTCCGTATAAGACAACTCCCATATAAGGAATGGTACACAAGAGGAATGAGAGGGAGACGGCTAACCGAACTCTTTCGCTTTTAAATCTCTCCTCCAAATACTATAATGCAATCCATTATTCAATATATTTGTCCATTTAATACACAATAATAGGAATGCCTTACTTTGTTAACACTCGTAAATTGGAGCTTATAATACACGGGAAGAAATATTTCGGCCGCTATTATAGAAGCCATGGCACCCGATATCATAACTGCCCTTCAAATGTATAACATTTTAAACAATTAAATACTTGAGAATAAAAAATATTAAATAAAAACCAATACCAAAACTGTGTTCCCCTGTAAAACATTTCTGCGGGATATCCAAGAATAGTGACAGAGCTTTGAAAGCTGGCCAACAGAGACATCGCCACCGGAAACATACTTAAGGACTTGTTTGCCGTCAAAAATTCTTTGTTGGAAACATTTTTTCTGTCCTAATATATAACATAACAAATTTAATCGATTATCATTTGTTTAAATTATTATTTTTAATGTTTATCTATAATAATAATACAGTAATAAAATTCTGTTAAGATTTTATAAAAGTACATTTTTATCAATGTGATAATTATTTGTGATTTAATATAATCGGGTATTTTCTAGTTTAGAGAAGTTATCGTTTTTATGAGTTTATAAATATTTTCTATAAATCTGTTTGACATGTAATTTCTGTTGTGTTTATCGATTAATTCAATTACAATCTTATATTATGTTATAAATATATCTATTCTTATAATTCAATTGTTATTATTTATTATTTAAAATAAGGTATAATTATAAATAATAAAAACAATCTAATATATTTAGGATAAATTTCTAAATTTACGTAATAATCACGTTAAAAAATAATTTATACCGGTAATATTAATAATGAATTAAATTAATGAGTTAAAAAGAAATAAATGATTATGCAGTAATTCCATATATAAACATATTATATATACATACTACAAAAATCATACAAAAGTATGTATGAATTGCTCGTTCATATCCTGTTCAAAAAATATTTAAATTATTGACATTTCATATATTGTTTAAAAACTTTAAATTTGTACAAATTTCTAATGTAGCAAACTATTAAATTTGGGTCATTTTATAGCATGAAAAGTATATTATAATCGGCTTTCTATTAAATAGCTTTCTATCAATTTGCTTAGATTTACTTTATATACCATGTATGATCACTGATCAGTTATAATCAGGTAAAATAATTTAAATTAAGTACTTCTTTCGTAAATTTTCATTAATATTTTGCCTAATTTTATGGAATATTATTGTTTTATTTTTTAAATAAAATTTCAAATTTTTATATGACATATGTCATATGAAATAAATGTTGAAGATTGGAAAATCACGTGTAAAATGATAACAACCACTGCTCGAGTGATAATCATTGAAATAAATCTATCTTTTTCTAAATAGAGTAACTTTCACTAAAATTCTGAATGCGATGTCATTTGTTATTTGATAAATAATTATTTTATTTCTGAAATAGTAAAAGTTTGTACTCATTATCAACTTTTGTGTCAATAAAAATATTTTTAATTATATTCAATAAATTTAAAAAAAAACTAAATAAATGTCAAATTTCAACATTTATTTAAACATTCAATTCTTAATAAACCTTTTGAATTATTTGTTATATAATTAAAATTACAAACAATTTGCAATATTATTCTCAATACAAAACTTTCATTATTATTGAATCGAAACTTTTAGTGTGAAAAATGTTTTCACTTTTTTGCAGCAAAACAGCATGAGTTAAAATAGGTTACTTAAATTCAAGGTCTCAAAAATCGTTTAAAATTTTGTTTTAAAACACCAAAAATGCATTTCATTACTTGATTTGAGGTAATTTTAAGCAATGAATTAATGACTTTGTATTTTAAAAACATAACGTCTCTTATATTACATAAATCCTCTTTTTAACAGAAAAATTTTAACAAATATAACAAAAACGTCAAAAATATTATTATAAAATTGATAAAAATGATAAGAATCTAAATGTGAAGTTTTGTTTAACTAATTTATGGAAATAAAACACATGATTAAATAGCGAAAAACATTAATTGAAATAATTATGCAAAACATTTAA